AGCTTAGAAACCCTGGAACTTCGAAAACTTGTTTTATAGAAGCTAATCAAAAAAGAAAGGCGCACAGATTTGTTTTTTGAATTAGTAAATACACGTACCACTGTAATTCGATATGGTGAAGATTAGTGAGCTGTAGAGAGGTAATAAATTGCTCCGAGTAGAAAATCTAGACTAGGATATCGTGTTTAAACTTATCATAATTGTATGTTTTCTTTATTTACGTGAGTTTGTGGTTATTATTGTAAAATAATCATTTTCGAATGAAATGAAATACTACTATATTTAAATTGTCTGGTTTCAATAAAACTTTTGAGAAAAAGCACTGGCATAAGCCACAATGTCTCCCGAATCCATTATAATATCTACTTTCTGTTCAGATCACAAACATCCAGTAGGGATAAATAATGAAATAATTGAGGTCCTGAGTTGTGAGTGGGTAAAAACAGTTCCTTTCGACTACTGCTTTGCTCATTCCGGTTGTGACGCACGCAATTTTCTTAGTGGTATCGTGATAGGAAATGTTTGTATTGGTCAGGTACAACTCAATGTCTTGAATGGCCCCATCATAAATACTTTTTCTAGATAATATTTTATTGTTTTGTGCTCTGGAACTTAGTATATACGTGACGTCTTTGAACAATGTTTCTTCTCTACTGATTATGAGATTGCCGCGTGAAATGTGATGGAATCGAAGCGTCAAACTTCGAAGGGTTCTGCAAAGGTCCTGGATTAGTCAGAAGATATCGGCTGACGAAGCTGCAATTGAATACAACTACTTTCCACTTCTTTAAAAACGTTTTTGTGTCCGCCTGACACCATTTCTTTCCTTCCAAACTCAGACACGACTAATTGACCCATAAAATTAAATAAAATACGTTATACCTTCATTGCTAATGGGAAACGTTTCGGATCGTACATGATCCCAAACGAGATCTCGGACAAATCACAAAAAATAACGTTTTGTGTCCATTTTAATTGCGAAAGGTTTCGTGTCGTCATCATCCCATCCCCACCGGAGTAAGTACGGTATGTACCTCTAGCGTCATCGTAGTGTTGCAGGCTGATGGCGGCTCCCATCGCGTCGCGTCGCCGGCAGGTGGCGCTGCTCGAGCCGGAGGGCCCCGGTCAAGAGCCGAGGCGCCCCCTTAAGTGGGAGTCGCGCTGATTGGGTGGAGCGGCCGTTAATTGAGTATTGTTTGTGAGGAGCAGCGGGCGCACCAGTCAATTGGTGGCGCGTGGAGGGCGGGAGCTGCGGGAAAGAAACGAACAGCGCCTGCCATCTGTCGGACGCTCCGCGAACTATTCGCTTTTACCCTGGTCGGAGTTTTTCTCTCCTGGCGTACGAAAAGTCGTTTGACACGAATGCGTAATGCCAAGACTAGAGGGTGGATTCACGCGTTGGTGGACGAATATTCGTGTGATCCATGCAGGACCAGATATTGCATCAGTCGGCAGCTTGATTCGGATGACACATTTTCGGGTGGCAACGATTTGATAAGAGAAGCAGATGATCGAGTATTGTGTCCCGAATAAGACAATGGATGCCCTCAGGAAAACTTTTAAAATAATGCTCCCAAATTTGTTTGCTAAGTAATTGGGCAACCTGTCGGGGTGTTCATCCGTTAATCACGGATAGACGGTGAATAATGGTGGCTTCCGGTCCACCATTCTTAGCAATTGGCGTATCATTTAACCCTTCATGAGCTTCTGGTAAGGGACTCTTGGAGTCTTACAAGGACATTTCAAGAGAATGTCAATGAGAATAATAATAGGTATTATTATTATAATATTATTATTACTGTTAGCATCATCATTATCCCCGTCTAAAATGCATTTTGAGTGGGTTTAAGACACGTAAGTGACCCCAAACTTATTCGATTCTTCGTTACCAGATGAATCGATTGACACTGTTTTAGCTGGATCCTTAAAGAGTATTCTGTAAAAGATCCTAGACAAAACTGTTTTTGTAGGGATTCCAAGGCAGCTACAGTGCGCAACTAATTAGCATACAGAAGCGCTGTGAATTACTAAACTGCTTCACTGGCGTAATATGAATCGTTACGACTTAATTCAACAGATTAGCAACTTTTATACTGTTGAAGCAAAGCACAAAAATGTTTTTAAAAGGATATCCATCTGTGCTCCTTCAGTTAGCTATGCCAGAGGATGGACGACCCAGGAGCTACATTCTGTTTAAAATTTTCTTCTAATCTGTAATGACGCTCTTGTGTCGTTCCTATGTCTGCTGTAAAAAACAAATACCGCGGTGCGCCCTAGGGTTGCCAACCGTCCTCCATTGACGTCAAGTGTCCTTTCATCCTCCTTTGTATTTTAAATGTCATCCTTTTAGTAAGTTTTTAACATTTTTTGTCATTGGTTTTATCACATGACTAACATTTGCTACGTTGTATCATATCATTTAATATACAATAGAAAACATAAATATCACTTGTCTGAACGCTGATGCACGCATGCATGATGGTGTCTCTGTCTAACGACTAAAATAAAAATGAAATGCTCAGCCCATTTTCGTCTGTATTTTGTGAACGAATATTTTCACTTGAATCGCAAATGGAGAGAAGAAAGAAATAGAGTTGATGTTACTGTAAGTTATGTAGTTATAAAAAGTGTTTGACTTTTTTCGTGGGGACTTGTTGAGTGTCCTCCCTTTTACACGGGCATCAGTGGCATGCATTCAACCCTAACATTGCTGAGGTATGCAAAACAGAATTTGATGAATTTTGAGAAATAAAATTACAATAAACCGTTTATCTCATGGTCAAAAACGTTGCACCCACAGTACATTCTACTGCGATCTGTAGGCCTATTGCTTCGGCCTACGTATTCGCAGGGCCTGAGTGTTGCGCGCGCATCTCCTTCGCTGGGCCAAAGGCAGGCGGCGACCGGGGAGAGAAGCCGCAGGCGACAATGCACTGAACCCTAGCTAGCTGGGAATGGATGGCGTTCCTTCCCCTCTCGCTGCTTCAAGACCAGGCCTCGCATGGATTGACCTGTCTGCGAATGTGATTACTCACAAGCCAATGATATCACAATGCAAAAGTATTTTAAATGGACTGTTTTGTTAGTATTAATTAACGTACCGTTCGCTGAGAAGAATGTTCAGAATAGATCATATTATTTTTTCCGAGGAAGAAAGTTCTGACTCACTTGTGATCAGATGTCTAGAATTCTCAAATTTGTGAATAGCACAGTGTATTCTTCTTTGAAAATGAATGTGCGTGTCAGGGCAGTGCGTGTTTACTCGTTATTTCGTGCGGATATGTAGTAAAAATACTTTTTCTAACGAGTATAAGGAATAATTCTGTGTAGTATGTCTTCCAGTGAGTGTGTAACTGATTTTGAGGGGACCATTTTCAACGAGATTGTTCACGTGAAGGTTCAGGCAATTGAAAATAGCAGGTCAATACCAACATTTGCACAATTACAGTAGATAACAAAACAAATGGGATTGAGGGAGGGAAGCTAGTTGGCAGCTAGCAGCTGGGATATGCAAAGTAACCACCCCACGCCCCCGATATGCATTGTTGGCAACCCTGCTGCCCCGAATTAGTCGCCCGCTCTGAAAATACTGCGCTTCTTGATCGTAATTTTGGGTGTTTTGATTCAGTTGTATGCTACGTAAAATAGAATGTGTAGAGTATTTCATGTTTATTTGTTCGTTTCTTACATTGGAGCTTTTGTTATACGTCTACAAATTAATCTTTTAGAAATTATTTAAAATTTATTTGAAATAAATATTGCTAACCTTCAGTCGCCCGCTCCCAATTTACTCACTTGGATGCTACGAAAGTAACGTTTGTATATTATTTCATATTTCATTTTAAATATCGCTCTTTAATTGTGTTAAATTGAAAACCAATAGATGAGCGGTCATTGTTAGTTGTTGTTACCCATTGTTCCAACGCCACACAGATTACACGATAATGATGGCTGCTTTTAGTTCGCGGAAATAAAAACGAATACTTTTGTATATTTGTAGAATATTACAATACCATAGTGTTTAATAATTACGATTATATATTTTTCTATTTTTTTTCCAACGCTATCAGTATCGTATTATTTATTAACTTTCAAATATTTTACTTTCTTGCAATCTGCTTATATTTCGCATCAAATGTTCTACGATATCAAATGAGTTTTACAAAAAATAATTTGGAGAGAAATTGTAGAAATAGTATTACATAACCATCACTAATGCCAGAAAGTACATGCTGTTTTACCTCCTCTAGTTTTTTTTATTTTTCAACGTCTGCTGAAATAATTATTTTTATTCAGTCTTACTCAAATACATTGAAATATTAACATACTCAATTAAAAATTATAAATCAATGAAAAGTTATGATATACTATAAATGTTTACAATCATTGAAAATATATTTTCATCAATGATTATTGTATATTGATTGAATCTTAGATTACTAAAAAAATATCTGAAACTAATCTGTAGAGTATTTTAGAATACAATTAAATTCTTTCTCATGGATCCTCCATGTTAAGATGTGCACTAGTGTGAAATTTTCTCACTAATGCTTTCTCCCTTCACGTGAAAATTGTCACCCAATTTTATTTATTTATATCAAAAACAGGTTTATTGTTAGGTGCAGTCAGCATTGCCAATTAATTCTGACTTTAATTATCAGTAATTTTAATATGTATCATAATGAAATTCATAAAAATTGTTTAATTGTTGTACAATTTATCTATACTTTTGTACATGATATGGGGGGTCCCAAACTTTACGTAATTATTTATGGGGGTTCAAGCATGCCTTGCAAGTGAGGGGTGAGAGGGGTATTCAAAATGTTCCAAATTTGCTTTATGTTATAAATGGGTGGCCCCTTGCCCTATTTTGTCTGTAAACCTAAATAAATCATTGCCTATAAGAAAATAAGAACCAAAAAAAATGTAATCTGCTTTGTATCAAGTTGAAAAAATCAGTGAAAATTAATCTTTTTTGCAATGTATTTGCTGTATTTCAGGCATTTCTAGAGCAGTTGAAGGACAATGAAGTCAACTCTGATGTATCATCCATTATTGGTCAATTTGGAGTTGGCTTCTACTCAAGCTTCATGGTGGCGGAAAAAGTTGAAGTTTACACTCGTTCTAGCAGAGAAGGATCAAAAGGCTACAAGTGGACGAGTGATGGGTAATGATTTTATTTTTATTCTTCTATTTTAGTAAAGGACATAAAACTCTTGGACTGAAATTTTTCAACTTTTAATTTTAGTTCTGGAACGTTTGAGATTCAAGAGGCTGATGGAGTTCAGCCTGGCACAAAAATTGTCATATACCTGAAACCTGATTGCCGTGAGTTTAGTGACGAAGAAACAATTAATAGTAAGTAGATCTCTTTCAGTTGTTTGCTGTGTAAACATGAAATAGGAGTGAAGAAATGATTCATAACTTTTATTCCAGATGTCATAAAGAAATACAGTAACTTCGTGGGCAGCCCTATCTTTCTGAATGGGAAGCAAGTAAATACAATCCAGGTGTGTTTAAATTGTTTGTTAATTACCAGTTTGTATGTAAAATAATATTATACCACCAACAATAATAATACTTATTCACTGTTGTAGCCTTTATGGTTGATGGATCCTAAGGATGTCACCCCTCAAATGCATGATGAGTTTTACCGGTTTGTGGGGAATACTTACGACAGGCCCCGCTTCACTCTCCATTATAAGACAGATGCTCCGTTGACTATCCGATCTTTGTTGTACTTCCCTGAAGGCAAACCAGGTACTTAGTTTTGAAAAATTGTGTGACATTTTGTTAAAAGAAGTGTAAAAATTATTGGATTTAATATTTATTCATGTTCATTATTTTTTTAGGCCTTTTTGAAATGAGTCGAGAAACTGATGTAGGTGTTGCTCTCTATAGCCGTAAAGTTTTGATCAAGAGTAAAGCTGATAACGTTCTTCCCAAGTGGTTAAGATTTGTGAAAGGTTTGTTCTTTAATGATACATGTTAACAATTTTCATTCCAGTGATGTGTGTTGTTTTATTATATTGTGCTGTTCACAGGTGTGGTTGACTCTGAAGACATTCCTCTAAACTTGAGCCGCGAGCTCCTTCAAAACAGTGCTCTCATTAGGTAATATTTTCATTGGATCATTGAAATTGAAACTATTTGCAGTAGAGATATTAAAATTTTTAAGTTTATAATTATTGTTGTTTTACTATTAACAAGTAAATACTGTTGTCATTGGGTTATGGCAAGGAATACCACTGATTAGCTGATCTTAACCATTCACACTGAGATTCCACAAAGTATCCCTTCAGTGGAGGTGTGTGGTTTTTACGCTGGTGGTGTGCAGGTTTAAAAGAATCCAGGTTTTTACTTGTCAAACTCGTGAATAGTCAGCTTCTTTTACCAAAATATAACATACCTTTGTCAGAATGAAAGAAATATTGTGTTTTTTGTTTTTGCCTTCTTTTTTTAATTTTATTATTATTATTATTATTATTATTATTATTATTATTATTATTATTATTAAACTAGCTGCTCATTTTCCTTTCCATTCTTATAGCCACAGGATGAGATTACTCTTTTGGATTTAATTTTTGAGTTTCTATGACATTTACAGAAAGCTGCAAAATGTATTGACAAATCGTATCTTACGATTCCTTCATGATAAGAGTGTGAAGGAAACTGAAGAATATGATAAATTTTATAAAGATTATGGCCTTTTCCTGAAGGAAGGAATCGTGTCTACCCATGAACAGGTCCACAAGGTGAGTTGTTGTTAAATACATTGTAATAATGGTAGTTCTATTTGAAATTTTTTTAATTACCTGTGATTTTTTTGCCTTTCTTTTTTCTTCCCAGGAAGAAATTGGGAAGTTATTGCGGTTTGAATCATCTCTAAAGCCTTCAGGGGAGAAAGTATCATTACCGCAGTACTGCAGTCGTCTGAAACAAGGCCAAAGAGATATATTTTACCTTGCAGCTCCTAGGTACAACTTTATTCATTTTCAGAAACCTTAAAACTAATAGGTATCTAATTGTCTGGGAAAGACCTTCTTTTTTTTAATGAAATCTTAAAATAAATTTCATTTTTCAAACAAATTTGTGGAATCAAAAGTGTATCTGCTGACCCTTAAGAATTTTCATATCATAATTCTGGAAAATATATGGCATAATGTGTTACCTGCTAAATAAAACCATTCTTTATCCCTGTAATTGTAACAATATGTGAATCTTCATCAGCTATTGTTTGATAACTCTGCTGTTTCTTTTTGCATACAACAAAGTACTATTAATTATTCTTGAAAACCTTTAGTGCAACTTCTGATTTAGTGGTAAACATTTGCAGGTAGTAAGATTTTTGAACACGTTGGCAATGTGTGGAACCTATTTATTTTGAAGTCACTTTTGTACTATGTTTGAAAATTGCGAAAAATATCAAGGTCCCAAATTCCTGGAGATGAAGGGACCTTCTATTAAGAGTGTATTATGTGTTTCACATTTCTGATATTGTTATTTATATTTGTTTCAAACTCATCTTAAATACAGCCGACAATTAGCAGAATCATCACCTTACTATGAAGCTTTGAAGAAGAAAGATGTTGAAGTACTTTTCTGTTACGAGCCATACGATGAGTTGGTATTAATGCAACTTCGCCAGTTCAATCAGTTCTCACTGACTTCTGTTGAGAAGGAAATGAGGCAAGACAAGGAATCAGATGATCTCAGTACCCTAGGTAATGAAACACATATTTCATAAGTTTTACATGTTAAGGTGTCGCCTCCATATGAATGATTCATAATACATTAAATAACTAAAAGCTACTAATGCGTATTATGAACGATTCATAATACTAAAAATAACTAAAGCAAAAATTGCAAGAAAAAGCAACAGAATATTTCATTGTAATGTGGTTTATAATGTTAGCGATTTTAGGAATATTGGGACTTTCCCCAATTCCGTAACCATTGGATACCTTCAACAAACATTATGACATTTGTTATTACCGCTCCCAGCTTTAGCCACTCAAGCAGCTTGCTCTCCATTGGCGTCCATCAGAACCAATGAGAATGCCTCTCCTGAGGGCGTGATATTACAATCTTTGGATCACGCACACATTACTCTGCAGTTTTGCCCTGATTTCTAAAAACAACCGCCTTGGCTCCTAAGGCATATTCTCAATGTTCACATTCAGTGAACCATCCTCACTGTGCCCCAGCTGTCCTTGCCCTCATATTTGTGACTGGGCATGTCCCCTGGTGTGGTACTATTTTCATATCAGCCCCCAGAGATGCCGGCCAGGCCTGCCTGGATGGCATCTGTGGGTAACTCTACCAGTCAGCAGTGGTGTTACATATCCATTTCAACTCGGGAATGAGATTCATGCAGATTTTATCTCTTGTGTTGATTCTAAGAGTTATCTCAGTATTAACATTTCGAATCCTTTAGGAACCAAGGTTTCTCCCTACCATCACTTTCAATTTGGCTTGTAAAGCTTGTTTGTGCCATACGTCTTTAATTTTATATATACACTTCCTTTGTGAAATATTGTAGGTTTATTTATTTTGAAATTTTCAAAAATTTGCTAATTTTTTAAATTATTATTATTATTTTACTCTCAGTTAGTAATTAACTTTAATAGAAAAGTTCTCTTGAATGTTTTTTGACTACATGTACATGCGTATGTTTATCTGCAGGTAGTGACAGCCTCTCCCAGTCAGAAGTGGGGAGTCTGATGCCATGGGTGAAGCAAGTCCTGGCAGGCAAAGTGCACTCTGTGCGTGTTACAAAACGTTTGGATGCTCACCCCTGTGTAGTGACAGTGGAGGAGATGGCTGCTGCGAGGCACTTCATTCGCACACAGTCCCACCAGATGCCAGAGGAGAGCCGCTATTCCCTGCTGCAGCCACAGTTGGAACTCAATCCTCGGTAAGGAACACTGAAGGCTCTGGGTTATATTTGTATATAAGACATTGTAAGGAAAAGAAAAATTGTAATTTTGAGGCAGGAAATAATAAACAAAGAGTCTATTTTGCTATCTGAGGGACGCTGCATCCTAGGTACAAATGCCAACTTTTTGGTCATCACGCTGCAACCTCCCTCAGAGTGAAATGAGGAATGTCATGGCATGATGATTAAAGTATTGGCATCTGTGTTTAAGTTGTGGCATCTCTCACAGACAAATAGATACTGATTCCAGTCATTGAAGCCTATTCCTTAGATACATTAATTCTTTTTGAGAGTATTATTGATAGTAAAAACAATTCTGAACATTAAAGTTTTGTCTTATATCATTTTTAATTTATTTTTTTGAAGAAATTTTAGTTTGACAAATTGTGATATATTTTATACAGTCCATTTCAATGCAAGTAGTTCTTAAACATGTGTCATATAATTTCCTCTGTTCTAAAACATTCATATCCATGTACTATTTGTTTTTGTTTAGGATTTTAGTAAATTGAATTATTTTTCTTAGTTAATTTAAAGAAAGATTAAAATGAAAGAAAATCTATCTTCATCAAATTAGTTATTTGTATTTAAATAATTTGACATTGCAAAGTAAATGTGTGTAAACCAAAAAAAATTAAAAAGATTAATTTTTTAAATGCTGTGATGCATTTGTATATTACAAATGATTGAAGAGGCCAGTAAGAAATAGTTGTGAGCAACAATTTTTAGTTTTTTGAATTGTAATTAGCAGTGCTTTTTGGGCAACACTTCTCCATTTCAGTGTTGAATTGAATTAAATTTGCCTTATTTTACAAGTTAGTGTTAGTTTCTATATTCTCATCAGATGCCTTTGTGATGTTGTATTGGTGTATAGTAGGGGTGTCCAACTTGCAAGGCCTAAGGGCCACAACAAAAACCTTCAATATGGTTGTGGGCCATATTTACCACTTATACCTTGGGCGACCCACACCTTACTTCCCCCTATTGTTGATCTTGGCTGTTTGCCAAGGGTGCTCTGTTTGCTCTAAAGGGTGGCTGGGATGAAACCATTTGTGATATCATGCCAAACCATGCATAAGGCAAGGAAACATTGGGATGATTTTGAATTCAGAAATTTACTCGAAAAAGATCATTCTTAAATATAATCTTAACCTATTTTTACATTAAGCGGGTGTTTACCAGATCAGAGAACAAGCGCTAAGTGCGATATTCTCCCTTACAGAATGTATTCACTTTTGATAACCGTTCGCAGGCCACAATAAATGGCTCTTTGGGCCGCCAGTTAGACAACTCTTGTATATTGTATATCATCTTCGAATGTAAATCCAGTTGCATCTCATAACTGCATTGGTGTGGCTTCGTTAAAGTTAGTATAAAATGTTATTTGAATCTCATCAGCATAATGTATAGGTATTTCAAAAAATAAAGGAAGGGTGAAGAAAGTACAAATGATATTACAAATAATGTATATAAAACAGATTATTGTCATTTATGTGTAATTTTATGTGTGTTTTATCGTGAATGTTGTGCTCTCTGGACATATGCACATTGTTGTGACATATGTGACTATTACATATTGAATATAAATTATTTGTGTAAATCACATCACCAGTTTTGTCACCTTTTCTAAATCTATTTTACAAAAGCTTATACAACATTTTAAACACAAATGTTTTTAATATGTATCTGTTGATATTTACAATCAAATCAAGTATGTTGAACACAATTTCTTTCCTGATTTCCCTTGAACCTGGAAATCACACCAATTGCCAGTGTTATTTCAACTCATCACAGATATATAAGGGAAAATAAGAACTTGTTTACTTCCACTGCTGGACTATTTCTAAACTCTCCTTCAACCATGTTTCCTAACATTTAATTTTTACTGCCTTAATTACTTTATTTTTATCCACAAATTTTTGTGCATTTGCATTTTACTTTATTAATTTTTTAAATTTCAGCCATCCTATCATCAAAAAACTCAATTCTCTGAGAACAAGCAACCCCAAGTTGGCAGAATTAGTTATAAAGCAGGTATGTTGATAGAGGAATTCACAATTTTAAATAACATTTTACTTAATACATTTTCCTCACTATTTTGGTGATCAATTTTAACTATCAGAATAATCGTATTAAAATTTGATAACATTTTGTTTCAGATTTTTGCTAATAGTATGGTTGCTGCCGGTCTCATGGAAGATCCACGCACACTTCTTACAAGCATGAATGAACTACTTACAATTGCTTTAGAAAAGCATTGAATATCGTTGATGAACTGTTACTAATAATTTTAAAAATAACATAATTTTCATTCTGTAATATAAATATTGAATTTTTTTGTTTTCATACTTCATTTCAGGAATCACATTATTTTGATTTCATGATCTTACCACATTTGGATTCTACATGGATGACTTTGTTGTGAGTGAATATGTGAATTCCCTGAGGTTGCAAGTTTTTGATTTTCGTCTCGATAATGGAGTTTATATGGTTAAAAGCAGTTTTTGAATTTATCTTGAAGTATACATCAGTATGATACATGTGCCATGCATCCTTTATTTTCGGAAAATCTTTTCTCTTAATTTTGTACTTTGTGTTTAATTCTAAAAAGAGATGATAGTGTGTACTGTTTCAGGTGTTTATTTTAAAAACATTTGTAAAGTGGTAAAAAAATTATTGAAAACTTAAATTGAAATTAAAATAAAATTGTTAATATTTATTTTATTATTTAGCTTTTTGACCTTCCATTCTTCCATTTCTTTATAGTTGCGCATTCCAATCCTTTTAATAATTTCATTTGTGTATCACTAGACAAATAAAATATTTTCTTTCAATTAAAATTTTTCATTCTTATATGGAAATTGTCAGCCTATAAGATTTGTTATGTGTGCCTGTCATATTAATATTCATTACCAAAAAATTATAGTTACATAACCAATGTGTGTTGTTGTGATGAAGACAGTAACATGCACAGTAAGTCTGTACACATTAAATTATTGGTTCTAATCCTTTGTACTTGTCTATAATATTATTTTCATCCAAAGGCGAATCCAGCTGATCATTTTTGGGGAGGGCCAATGTAGATTTTTGTTAAATAATAAACACATTTGTTATTATATTCCACATTATTTTTGTAGTATATATGATACTATACAGTATTATTTGTTTTAATAATTACCAAATTCTAACATTAATATATAAATAAATTTAGCCAAATAAAGAAAGGTAGCAAACGAAAACTCCCCCATTCCCCCCTGCACCTCCATTCCACCACTGGTTTCATCAGAGATTAACTGTTGAAACAAAAGTACATACAAAGTGAATTTTCTAGAGACTAGAGAAATGAATTTCAGAAATGTTGAGAAGATAGAAGCTAGAATCTATGAACTTCCTTAACCATCACCATCACCATCACTATCATCATCATCATCATCCTAAACTGACCAGAAATTAGACTTTACAACCTGTTTCTGCAGCATTCTTGGTACATTATTAGTCTTCCAAGTGTTCCTGCTATTGCCACTTCTTTAGTGATCTGCCTCCATTTCATATTCCTCTTGGTTTGTACTTCCAGATCAATTTTGGCAATCGGTTGTTCATTCTCTGTAAATGATCTTTCGATCTCCTTTGAGGTTGCTCAATGCATTCTTCTAAACCTTTGGTTTTCAATTTCTTTCTGATATCTTTATTTCTCAGTCTGTCTCTTGTTATGATTCCCCGGAGGTGTCTTAGAAATGTCATTGTGCTGTCTGTAGTTTTTGTTTAGACTCTATCAATACCTATGTTTCAGAGCCATTCGTGATTCTATGCTTAGCAGCTCTATTGTGAAGATTCAGTTTTGTTTTCTTACTTAACACAACCCAATCAATTGGTCCATTGGTATTGTATAAAAGTGTCAAATGATGGTTCAAAATAATCCCTTACAAAAGATGAACAAATCATTTTTAAGGAAAGTTAAATTTGTGGACTAATATAAAAATGAAAGTTACAAGAATTGCAAGGGAAACAACAAATGAATGAGAAGTGAATAAAGTTAAGCCTTTCAAGAAATGAAAAGCACAGTGAAATAAGAGCTGCAGCAAATGTGTCCAATTAATAAAACCTGACTATTGTGACTAACAGTATAACAACTTAAATATGATTCAAAGTCAATGAAATTAATTTAAAAATTTGTTGCAATTTGAGTTGAACATTCCCAAATTTACCATTCAAAGCAGGCAAACTGTTATGCAATGAATGTTGTGCTTTAGAATGGCACAGACTTATGCGTTTTAGTTAATTTCCTCTTCTCGTGAATGGAGTAGCGTTTTGGTTTTGCTCCCTTCCTCTCCAGCTGTGATCTATCGGAAGCTAAATGACCTGCTAGTGTCAATTGTCATTCCACTGGCCCAGACTATAGCAAAAACATTTTAGGGTTATGTACATAATAAAATTATAAAACAAATAATATAACTAAAACTCAATAATAAAATAAATGATGATTCAAGTCAATTTTTTTATTAATCTAGATATACAGATGTTTCGATCTCTATGTGTGAGATCCTCTTCAGTATGTTACATTTCTGAGAATAGATAGTTGTGTTACAAAAACATTTTAAAATAGTGATTTTATTAGTCAAACATACATGTGTAAAATTCTGATCTATGATTAACTATAATTACTTAGTTAAAAGGAATACTACCTGCAACTATTTAAGGTTAACCCTCATATACAACTTTAGCCAAGCCCTTTTTGATTTTCATTTCGTCAAACGACGATGCGTTTAATCACGATATGGAACGCCTGACATGGTTGCCAAGCATATAGAACCAGAATGAAAAATTGATAGGTGGAGCACCATAATATTTTTAAATCTAATTATTTACTCCTTACTTGGCAAGTTGACTAGCATAATTGAATAGACCAGAGGTATAACCTGAACTTAATGACTAGTTCAATAAATTAGTGAATGTAAGGTAAAATTAAAATATCTATGTGTTCAAGTTAAAACTGAAACTTTTTGAAATGTGTGCAAGAATTACTGAAAATTTTTGAAATGTCGCAGATTTACAATGGATGAATAATACTTAATTGTAATTTCGAATAATAGTGTAAAAAAATTAACATGTAAATAAGATGAAAATAATTATAAAACACCACTAAGCATATAAAAGGACCAAATTCTTATTATGAAAGGTTGATAAAATATTAGTTACCAGTTTGATTTAAGGTCTAAAACACCTTCATTGCTCCAAACCAGTTCATGTCTGGAACATTGTACTTGTTTAGAGATGACTTTCTCTTTTTTCTCTGTTTCTTTTGTGGCACTTTGTTTGGCCCACTCAGACCTCATCACAGCTTTGGGTGTTACATTTGATTCTGACTTTTTTGCAAAGTTTGTCTTCTTTTGTTTCGATGTGGTGGCTACATTTATTGAAACAACCAAAAATATCAAAACAATTTTTTCAGAATTGACCTTATCTGAAAAGAAAGTTCTTTAATGAAGGGAATGACATTTTTTTCTAGGGGTGTCTATGTTTGAGATTGCACACCCCTGCTGATGTCCTCTATATGTTGATTTACATATTTTTATTTTTAATAGACTTTATGTATTAATTGTACTAATAAAAACATGGGGATAATCATTATTTGTTTGATTAACTTTATATTAGAATCGTTGAACCATTCATCAGATAGCACAATCAACTAAGCTGGTAACTACAGTTGCTTTATAACCATTTGAATGGTTATTCCTTCCTGAAAAGGTTGATTTTCTATACCAGTTACTGATAATATGATTGTCTGTTCTCAAAACCTCAACATCTAAAAAAATTTAATTTGTTTTCTAGTTCTGTTTCACGTGTGAATTGTAATCTATTGTGGTAACTTTTGAAGACCTGAAGAACATAGTTTTATTTCTGTTTATGATAAAAAAAAGTGTCAGGTATGTTCTATAAACCCCAGGAAGGAAGTCAAAGTTATTTGAACTTTGTGTCTTAAACAAATTAGACCTTTTCCTAGGGTGTATAGAAGACACATAGATGACTTTATAGAAATGTTGTGTTCTCTTGGCCTAGACTTAATGGACTGATATTCTTATCCTGAGTGCCAGTTGCTTTATGAAGTGGAGCATCAATTGACAGAAAACATTGGCATAATTTCTTTTCCTGCTGATGACACAGTGCTTCCAAATTCAATAGTCCTCTGCCTGCGTTATTTTGAGATCAATAAAATGTCTACATTGAACTATGTGGATGATGGAGTCAATATTTGGTAAGCACCATACTCAAATTCGTATTAAATATTTGTGATGATGTGTCTGTCATTTTATCAGTCCAAAAGTGAAAGTTGCTAAAGGAATAGCCTATTTGTTAATTAAAGACTTTTTGTTTTATGAGTTGATATTCGTCTCACAACTCTTATTTACTCAAGATAGTACTTTCTTTCGTATCCCAATTCTGACTTTCATGTCAGAAACTTCCAACAGTTGCAACATTCCCAGATACTTATATGTGAATCTTCATTACCAAGGCTTTGTAAGATGGTGTCACCGAAGAGTTCGACAATTCATATTGCACATTTATGTAAGCCAAATTCCATGCAGATATTTTTACTGAAGTTTTGGGTTAGGGCAAGTTCACTTTGTAGTTTTTTTTATTACTAGCTTAAGAGTTTGAGGTGGTCCATACAAAACTAATGTGATTTGTGAACATCTGGATTTCTTTTTATACAGTACCCACAAATTCTGAGTCACAGTGAGCTCAAGCTGTCACCCTGAAACACACCTTACCGGACCTCAATCTTCTTGAACTGATATGAGTAACAGCCCAGTTTAACGTACAGTAAAACATGCTTCATGCGAACTTGTAAAATGCGGAAATCTGACTAATGTGAATATAAAACGCGGTCCTCCCAAACATAATTCTACACATAAATTTTTTTTATTTGAAGCATGGCATTTTAGATTAATGTTATGTTACCTTACTGTTTGAGGCAACTATTACCAAATAAAAGATTATTAATTCAGTATAGCCTATTCAGAAAGAGAACTGGTTGCTTATTCAACGCTCGTGGTGGAGAGGGTCTTGGTAGATGGATGTGGAAGGAAAAGGAAGCTAAGAGTTACAGTCCCCTTATGTGGTGCTTGGCTCTAGGCTTGTTTGCACCATCATGATGTACATTATTTACCAGTTTTATATACCAAGTTTAAATTTAATAATTGACATGTTTCTTCTTTATAATTTAAATTACTTTTTTCCTATATTTTATGAGAGTCAATAAGATTTCCTTGTATTGTTATTCATTTCAAAGATAAAAATATTGGTGCTACTTAATGGCATACACTCTCATTCTCGTTAGTTTTCTAATTTTGTTGTGTCAGAGCTAGCATTTTGGTCTTGCCCCATCCTCTGGTCAGCTGTCATCTATCACAACCCAAAATACAAGTTTTTAAAATATATTTTCTCAATTTTTTGCTCTCCTAATGGTAGAACTAAAATATGACTTCAAGACTATAATAGAAGAGTAAAACCTAGTCGTATATGGAAATTTTTGTTGAAAAATTTGGAGCCTTTTTAACAAAACTATTTTAACATGTCTGTTGATGGAAAATTTTAAGTTTTTCACCCCCCAAAAAAATTTAAGTTTTTGGAAACTGCATTGGAAGCCATATGAGGTACTTCCACTGCAATAATGTAATAATGTATACAAATCACTGAAAATGTGCATATTCCCAGCGTGAGAGTTAAAGAAATGCATTTGCGTATTTTTTGAAAAAGCAAAAGTATACAGAAAAGTGATTTTATGTCATTTTATACAGTGCATTTAGCATTATC